TGTGTCGCTTAAGTTTCGTCGGAACGAAGTTACGGAAAGTTAATTAACAAACGGAGACGTAACAATATCAAAATGTAAATTTTAGGAAATAATAGAGTTCAGAAAACAAATCAAAAACATAGCTTTACCCTGATGTTCAGTAAACATTAAACCTAGCTATCTCAAGAATGTGCAAGAAGATAAAAATATGAATTTATGTAAATAACTTATATCATATTGAATGTCTTTTTTAATGTGGAAAACCAATTAATAAAATATTGATGTGATATGGTACAGTAACTTTTTCATTTATGAGATATATATGTGAACCAAAACTTACTTATCACGAAAATCTTATAAAGATATCAGAAGTGAATCTCAACATATTTAAACATTGGTGTGAATTCAAATATATCATTTTAAGTGTGGCTTATTCCTCTTAAGTGAAAGAACTATTATTAAAGAAATCAAAGCATTTTAAAGTAATACACATGTATAAGAGTATTATACAAATAGCTGCAAACCTTTTTTCCACATACTATTTTATATCTAAAAAATCATAAATTTTACTGTTTAAAACACTGTAATCAGTAATCATATTAATATTAGTTAATATCAAACTAATTTTTCTTCTTTTTAATCAATAATAAAAACAAAAATAAGTATCATTAGAAAACAAATTTCAGCATTTAAAGAGCTACCAAATGAAAAGTCATAATCAAGAAGCTAAGATACTATTGTTCTAAACAAGTAAGTAGGTCTGTAGAATCTCTTAAATTTTCAGGGCACAGACACTTCACCTTTGGACTCTTTACTTGCTGTGAACTTCTAGGAGTGGGAGCTATTTACTTTGTTTCATATAAAACAAAACTTTTATTTTAACTTAATGTTTGAAATATGTAGTATAATCTACACACACACACACTAGTAAATAAAACAACATGATTTTTAATTTATAAAAATCTTGAATTTAGCACATTGTTTTTATAGATGCTAGAGCTCTGTAAACTGAGTCTGTCATGCTCAGAATAGTTGCTCTTCTAAACACTTGTAGTAGTACCAACAGAGATGATGGTTTGTGTGTAAAATTGGAGACAATCATCCTGATTTTTATTACGTAAGACTGTTTGGCAAGTCCTGTCATTTATTTGAATTCAGAATGTTTTTCTTTAAGTAAACTTTCATTTTTGAGAGAAATAATCAACAGATTATCTAACCAATTATATGATTGTGTGCATGTGGCACAATGTTGCTGCAGCCCTGCATTCAAGTTCTTATAAATTCTTTGAAATTCCTCGATTATTTTGTTTCCCTGTTTGTTTTGGAATCACTAATGAATGTGTGGATATTACTGAAAATAATTTTATTTAACCTTAAACAGATACATGTACATGCTTACATATTCGCCACCCATTAAAATCCCTTATGAAGGTTTTGGTTTATATAGGAATAGGACCTTATAATAAAAACAACACTAGATAATAAAGAAATTATGAAAATTATTTGCATTGTTAGCTTAATGTATATGGATTTCAGACCAATCTAAATATCATAGGCTTTCTTTGATAGGTTGTTTAGGCAGAGTATTCATAATGAATCTAAGTTTCAAATGGACAGCAACTTCCTGTTGTAGAAGCATGCAAATGTAGAGGACGACGTTTCGAAAGTCTTCCGCCTTTCGTCTTCAGGTCAGTGTGTGTGTGGTGTAGTTTGTTCTTTATAGTGTTCTAGTGGATTGTGGAGAGCATGTTATGATTGGTTTTCGAAAGGTTGACCTTTCTTCTTCAGGGGCAAACTTGGAAAGCGCTCGGGTTGTAGGGTTTTTATTCATTTTTATCAAGACTTCTTGAACGTACGTGGTTTTCTAACATCATAATTATCCAATAAACTGCTTAACTTTTACAGCAGACAACAGAAGTTTGAACTACTGAAAAAATGTCCTATTTAGGAAATTGCAATCAGATTTTGACACATATCCCAATTTTCACTAGTAATATTACCGTAATTTTTTTCCTAACTCAAAAAACGATAATCAAACGACCACACTTTTTTTCACATTTTGCAATTTATAATGCTAGTATTCCACTAGCAAATTCATAGATCTGAAACACTAACCTAAAAAACGACAATCAGGCAATCACTCCCGGTAGTTAAGCGGTATGGTTATGAGTATATAATGCTAAAACTCGGAGTTGGATCCCTAAGATGAGCACAAGGCATATACGCCATTTTGCGGCTTTGCGCTTAAATTTAAAACAAAAGAAACGAGCAATAATCAAAACGCATTTTCCAATTAATGGATAAATATAATGATATAGTTTACCGCAAAGCATCATAGGAATCTATTAGCACTGCTACTAATAATTTGCTAGTAGTCTTAACAAAGCTTTAAATAATTAGTGTAAATAAAATTAATTGCTAATTTAAATAGAGTTTGGTATTTATATTATACTATTGTTACGTCTCTGTTCGTTTGTTAATTTTCTGTAAAAATTCT